CTTCTCTTCTTTGTAGTGTAAATGTCTGAACCTCCGGACCCAGGAGGGGGTGTGAACGAGCCTTGTGCTCATCCATCTCCTCCTCTATTCTCGCAGATGGAGACTGATGTAAACAATAAATCATCTAGGAAACGGGCAACAACTGATCAGTCTACGTCATTACCTGTCAAAAAATCAATTGTTTCTCCGACAAACCCCTCAAATCAGATCACTTTTATTAATCCGCTTTTTGCTGACAATAAAATGAAATATACAGAGCATGATTCTGCTCCTTTCGTCGTTCATGTTAGCAAGATAATATCAGATCCCAGCTCTGGTTCTGTTTTTAGACCTATTAAATTTGGACATTTTTTATATATCAACAAAATTAAAAATATAGTGAAGGATGGTGTCAAACGTATTGGTAGAAACAGAATTTCCGTGGAATTTAAATCTTTTAATGATGCCAATGCTTTCCTTGATCATACTTCACTTACTCCCGCCAAGTATCAAGCTATCATCCCCCGTTATAGTATTACTAGAATGGGCATAGTACGTCAAGTTCCTGTAGATTGGACCCTAGAAGAACTAGTCAAGGCCCTGGAAATTCCCACAGGATTTGGTCAAATTATAAAGGCAAGACGACTCTGTAGGAAATCATTTATAAACAATTCGCCAGAATGGATTCCCACCCAAACTATAGTATTAACTTTTTCTGGACAAAAACTTCCTTCACATATCTACTGCTTTTATACCTCACTTCCAGTAGAGACATATGTTCTTCCTACAATCCAATGCAACAAATGCTGTAGGTTCGGCCATATCCAATCACATTGCAGGTCTCAGGCACGCTGTTTCATCTGTGCACAATCTCACGAAGGATTTTCGTGTAAAAAAGATATTCCTACTTGTTTATTTTGCTCCGGCCAACATAAAGCGACTGATCCCTCTTGCCCTGAGCAATCTCGTCAAAAACAAATTAAATTAGTTATGTCACAAGAAAATGTATCATATTCTGAAGCATCATCAAGATTTGCGCAGGTCAGGAGGTCTTTTGCTGACTCAACTAGATATGAATTAAACAGTCGTGTTACTTCTCCCTCCACTCCCTATCTATCTCCTCTCTCGTCCCCCAGACCCCAACCTATAACTTCTTATCGTAAAAGTGTTTCTCTCCCTAAACACCATCCCATTCCTGCATCAAGTCCAGGTTATAATCATCAGACTCATAGAAATATCACTGAGACCCCTAAATCCCAGCTTTCTAATGGTTGTGCATTCCCAAATGATCCTCCTGTTCCCAATGATAACCTATTATCTCTTCTCCTATCAACAATTATCAATCTCCTCGGCCGTTTTAGTGATATCGGCTTACCGAACAACGTCAAAGATCAACTGTCTCAGCTTCTTTTACTTTCGTGTTCCAATGGCTCCAATACTTCAATGGAACTGCCGCAGCAGTAGAAATAAAATTAATGAAATTCTGTACCTCATTAATATTTACTCACCTGTCATCTTTGCTGTCCAGGAAACTAGACTTAAGCCTGGTGCAAAACTCCGCATTCCAGGTTTTGCTTGTTTCCGGGATGACAGAAATGATGGATATGGAGGCACTGCCTTACTAGTTTCAAGATCTGTCACATTTTCTCTTATTCCACTACCATCGCATAGTGAACACATTAATGTAGTGGCATTAAAAGCTTTAGATGTTGTTTACCTTTCAGTTTATATCCCATATCCAAATCTTGAATACCTAGCTGAATTATCAAATATCGTCTCTACACTTACCCATCCCTTAGTTATTTTGGGTGACTTTAACATTCATCACACATCATGGGGCTCATATTACTGTGACCGTTTATCTTCTCATTTTTTGGACATTTGCGATAAATTTGACCTTTGTGTATTAAATGATGGATCACCTACACGTAGGGTATCGCCAATACAAAATATTGCTAGTGCTGTTGATTTGTCTCTATGCTCCCCATCCTTAGCTTCCCTTCTTACTTGGACCATACTTCCTTCTACCCATGGAAGTGATCACTTCCCAATAGTAATTTTATTTCCCAATTCTCGAAACGAACGGCCAAACACTCTGACTATCCCTCGTACCCATCTTAAATATAATTTGGCAAAAGCAGATTGGACAGTATACAAAAGTAATTTAGAATTAGAAACACAAAATTTGCCCCCAATTAACGATAATAACTATCTCTCTTCCTATAATGACTTTAAAAGTTGTATTTTGGCAGCTGCAGATAAATCTATCCCTACCAAAAATAGTTTTAAAGGTAAACCCCGGTCTCCTCCCTGGTGGGATTCTGATTGTACTAGGGTCTGCAAAGAGAGAAAGATGTACGAAAAAATATATGCAAAATCCATGACAGAGTATAATTACATAAAATATCGATCAGTTGCTGCAAAAGCAGTGAAAACCCTTTTAGAAAAAAAAAGAATTGGCTGGCAGAGGTTCTGTGAATCCCTCTCTCCCAGAACACCTCCATCTTTGGTGTGGAAGAATGTTAAAAAATTCCGTTGTGCTATGGTTGACACTAGCAATTTCACTACAAATGATACTTCACAGTGGCTTGACTCATTTCAATGTAAATTAGCACCTCCATCAGTTCCATCAAGTAGTGAAGTTATTTATTCTATCATCTCATTACCGTCTCTGTTAACTGAATTCGATGAGCCATTTTCTCTTAACGAACTCTCAGCTGCATTAGATGGCTTAAAAGACTCTTCGCCTGGTATTGATGGAATCCCTTACTCTCTTATCGTAAATAGTAATATTCCAACTAGGGAGCTTCTCCTTAATATACTTAATAAAATTTTTTTATCAGGCATCCCTCCAGATGAATGGAAAATGCAAATTATTATTCCCATACTGAAACCTGGTAAACTTGGCAATGATCCAAATGGATATAGACCTATCGCCCTTTCATGTACAATGGTCAAAATACTTGAACACCTAATCAAAAATCGACTTGAGTGGTTTGTCGAAAGTAGGGATCTTCTTGCTAAAAGTCAGTTTGGTTTCAGGAAAGGTATGAGTACGATGGATAGTCTGAGCATTTTCACCACTGATATTTGGATCGGTCTATCGAAACGTTTTCTTAGACGTTTCGTCTGCTTATGACAATGTTTTGCTTCCTATTCTCAGGCAAAAATTGTTCAAGCTAAGTATCCCCTTGAGACTTATAAACATAATATTTAACCTCTTGACCGCACGATGTATCCAAGTTTGTGTGAGAGACTCTCTATTACCACCCCGAACTATTTGGAAAGGACTTCCGCAAGGTTCAGTTTTAAGCCCCATACTCTACAGCTTGTACACATATGATCTTGAGCTAGCTTTAAACTCTTTCTGTAATGTCCTACAATATGCCGATGACTTATGTTTATATATTTCAGACTCAAATATTGATACCTTATCGACTCGCCTAAATACGGCTATATCGTATCTACATGACTGGTTAACTAATCATGGTCTATCATTATCGGTTGATAAAAGTAATATTGTTATATTTACACGTTCTAGGAATACCCCTCATGTCCAAATAAAATATCTAAACCGACTCATCCCTTTGAAAAATCAGGTGAAATTTCTTGGAGTTGTCCTAGACTCTAAAATGACAGGATTCCACCACATCGCTCATATAATCAAAAAATGTGAAAAAAATTTAAATATCATACGATCACTGTCAGGCGTTTGGTGGGGAGCCCATCCTTTTTGTCAAAAGCTATTGTACAATGCTTTAATTCGAAGCCATTTAGACTATGCCTCATTTCTTTTGGAACCTTGTTTGAAGTCATCTCTAAAAGCGCTTGATAAGATTCAGTACAAGTGTCTCCGTATTATTTTGGGAGCTAAAAAATCTTCTCCTATCAACGCTATGCAAGTGGAATGTTCTGAATCCCCATTAGAAATCCGAAGACAATACCTATCAGATAGATACTTTTTCAAAATTATTCAGAAATCGAATCACCTCCTTATTAACAAATTACATTTACTTTCAGAATTTATATCTCATGACATGTTCTGGAAACATAAAACCATACCTTATCTATTTCGTAGCTTCCTTTGCTATATCAGACTCCCCTCCCCAGTATTCCAATGTTCGATTCTCCCATTATTTAATAATTCATTCAACTCTCTCATATATCGTCCTAACATCTTGTTAGATGTAGGCATTTTCAAAGATTCCCCAAATGCGGAAGATCTGCTACAAGATTTGATCATTAAAAATTGGAGCGATTGGCTCGTGGTTTATACTGATGCTTCAAAACTCTCTGATGGAGAATATGTAGGTTCTGCTGTATGGATCCCCAAATTCAAAATAATTCTCAGTTTCAAATGTCCTTCTGACTCATCTGTTTTCACGGGAGAGGCTATCGCTATTCTTGAGGCGATTATGTATATTGAGTCGCATAATCTGGATAAGACAATAATTTTCACAGACTCTAAAAGTTGCCTTCAGACTATTTTAGCAAATCCTTTTCGCAGTAAATGCAACTACCCTTATGTTCTAAAAATAAGAGACGTCCTATATAAATGCCATATTAAAAAAATAAGAGTCCTCATAGCCTGGATTCCTGGCCACTCCGGTGTGGGGGGTAATGAGACAGTTGACTTAATTGCAAAAGAAGCAGCTAACATTGGTATCCCGTCCCATTACGAAGTATTCTCCTACGATCTAATTTCCTTGGCAGTTAAACGGAGTTTATGTTCATGGAATGCTCAATGGAAATCATCAAGTAAAAATGTAGGAAAATATTACGCCGATATTCAAGACACCATCCCTCCTAAACCGTGGTTTTTTAAGTTTAAAAATATATCTAAGGCATGTACATCCACCATATGTCGTCTACATAAAGCAGAGTTTATAAAATATCTAAATATGAATTAATCTGAGCGAAACACTGGACTCTGGCGAAATCCATAAGGGCATCGCCATTAATTAAAAAGAAGAAGAAGTAGGAAGTTGGTCGTCTGATACCTACTAAGTCTGTGGTTGTTGTGCTTGTGCGAATCCGTGAAAATTGTGCTGTTTGACATTTTTCTTCTTTTTCATTGAAATACAAATAAAATATCCAATAATAATTTATAAGAATGGTGAAATTAACAACTGAATTGATCCAAAATTCTATGCAATATATGAATCCATGCAGAGATCGTGAATTGGATTTGAGAGGTTATTTCTGTTCTATTATTTAAATACAATTATTACAATGCATTTTACACATTTAATATTTAAAAGCTCTATCATTTGTGATTGATATATGTAATTACAAATAATCTGTTAACAGTTTTTAGAAATTGTAATCAAACAATTGTTTTGCAGGTTATAAAATACCACAAATAGAGAACATGGGCGCTACATTGGATCAATTTGATACTATAGATTTCTCAGATAACGATGTGAGAAAACTAGATGGATTTCCTCTTCTTAAAAGACTGAAATGTTTATTATTGAATAATAACAGAATTGTGTAAGTAATTTCTAATATACTTCTATGTCATACTAAGAAACAATAAATATCATAAAATGTGTAGTTTAGAACCTAAAAAAACCTATAATCTGTGATATATACCATTTATATACATTTACTTGAAAAGAATTATGCCTTTACAGGAGAATTGGAGAAAATCTAGAACAGTATTTACCGAATTTGGAAACATTGATATTAACAAATAATAATATTACTGAACTTGGTGATTTAGATCCATTGGCTTCTATTCCTAAATTAAAAACTTTGTCACTTATGCATAATCCAGTGGCAAATAAACAACATTATAGGTAAGATATTATAATGATAACATCTGTTACAATTTAAAAGAGAAAGTGTCATTTCATTGAATTCTCATCAAAATGTGGAACAAGAAGCATAACCAACAAACAAAATATAACACAAAAAGTTTGTCTAATGTAAAGATAGATTCATATTTTGAAAAAAATTGCTATAAGTTTATTCTTGGTCTCATTCTATTTGATTCAAAAAATAACATAGAATATGAATCACATTTGTCTGGTTTGCATTTATTTTAAAAATCCCTTAATAATTTACTATTGATGTTCACTTTTGCTCATAATTAAAGTATGTAATACTCATAGGAGTAGGTTATCAGCACATATTTGGTATTTCATTATTGTGTCTAGCCAAATATTTACAGCTCATCAAGTATTCAACAGGCTTTGGAGTCTGCAATGTTAAGTATTTAGCTAAGTTTTTTGCTATTGTTTGATATGTAACTTCAATGGTATATGTTTAGATTGTAAAATATATTTGGCATATACATTGTCTAGTTTCAGCATTTTATTATATTACACTATAATAAAAATAATAAATAAATATGTAAATGAAATAATTGATATACCTTGTTGAATATCATTGATTTATATGAACATTGTAAATAATTTGGCTAATTATCAAAAATAAATTAATGAATTGAATTTTCTTTTGTAAATGATAATATTGAATTTTCAGAGCATATGTCGCTTTTAAGTTACCTGAACTCAGATTACTGGACTTCAGAAAAATAAAGCAAAAGGAAAGGGAAGATGCAGATACATTTTTCAAAAGTAAAAAAGGAAAAGAAGTCCATAAAGAGATTTCAAGGAAAGCTAAAACCTTTGTACCTGGTGGTAACATGCCTGATCCTAAAATTACAAGTATGTTATCTATTCAGACTACTTTCTTGAATTTTTTTTTTTATTCATATTTCCTGTTAAATCTTGGGTAGCTCAATGGTTAGAGCAGTTGCAATCCATTGCAAAAGGTTCTGAGTTTGAGTCTCATCTCAGAGTACCTGGGGCTGGTGATTTTTTAAGCAATTTTCATTAAGAATATTTTCCATTATAGAATTGTCAATACAAATTGATAAAATATAGTATGTAGGTTTTATAAACGTAAAGTTTCTCAGTTCACTTTTCTTTGACTGTTTTATTCATGAAGTAAATAAAATAAAATGGGTGACACCATACATACACACGGTTGCCCAAACATCCATTCAAATTGTTGTTAATTTAAAGATACATTGTCTATACAAATTTTCGTATTCAGATCATTCATTAGAATCATCCTCAAATTAATTAATTGATGAGTGTTCTATTGGATTCAATAACATAAAGTTATTCAAATGAGTATAGTTTTGGATGTTGTTAAACTAGAATTACTTCAATATATTTCTCTCTGTTGCAGGCCTTACTCCACAAGAGATCCACAAGATTCGAGAGGCAATAAAGAATGCTTCTTCATTGCAAGAGGTGGAAAGGTTGACTAGAATGTTACAGTCGGGCCAAATTCCTGGACAGAAACCATTGCAACCACAAACCCAAAGCAACGGTCAACGTAAGAAAGTTGCAGTTGTCTTACTTTTTCATTTGTAAAATTTATTTAGAAGGATTTATCATAAATGTGCTTGATGATAGTTTATAATCCAATAAGACACAATTATAATCTGATGGCGTTTACAGTTTTATGGTGATGGTGACAAAAATGGTGCATTACCAACAATGCACCATTTCATATTAGCAAATAAGAAACTTGACTGCTACATATATGTTTAGTTACCATCTCCTGTTTTTCTCTGCTTAGATTTTTGGATATAAGGCATTGCATAGCAATAGTCTCCTAATGATGATTCTTATTCACGCGTGTTTTTTCGTTATATCTACAATTTAATCACAGAATGTAGTCATAATTGTATGGATTACGTGCATGTACTCATAGTTACACGTCAGGTTACCAAAATTTTTTCTGCAGTTGATTTTAAACTAACCTGTAAAGCATTATGGTTTAAAATCAAGTGGAGAAAAAAAACAATATTATATAGTGTTGTTGACTGTACAAGAGAGATAATAAAGTTTATTATACTTTTATTTTCAGAAGAAGAAGATGAAGAAATGGAAACGGACCAAACAAATGGCCAATAAAGCATTTGAGTCTTTCTGTCGGAATAGATACTACATAACATACTACTTTACGCATTTTTAATAGGTTTCAAGCAAGGGCGTCGCCACGTGGTGGCAGAAGGGGCAGCTGTCCCCTAGAGATTTCCAAGATGTTGCTTAATGTTAAGCATTCAAAGTCCTAAGTCTGCCTTTACTTGATTGATTGATCATTCTCGTTCGTCGAAACTCAAATGAACTTAGTTCAAGTGGGAGAAGGGGTGCGGTGTATACTCAAACCCCCAAAAATATTTTATTCTATTTCCTTAGAGGTAAAGCTCGTACTAAAGTAAAAAGCTTCATGGACTTTTTGTTACAATTCAGACTCAGCTCATTTTCCGTAATAAACCCCCCCTTGTGCCATCGGCTGACGACGCCAACTGGTTTCAAGTCATAAAAACCGTTGTAAAATTAACTTTTTCAGTTTAAAAGAATTAAAATTGTATCTATGGTACTCTCAATGTTTTTAGTTTTATTTCTTTTATTTTTTAATGTTTCCTGGTAGTTTAATAAGTAAACAAAAACACGGTTTATGACTTGATTCCCTAAATATTTAGTTTAAGATATTTAGCTGGTAAGATCAGATCTACATACAAAGTTTCAGTCTTTTATTAATTTGAATAGAATTGGTACTATACACAGTTTACATTTCGCGAGCAGGCTGATAAAAGAACAGTATACTACAATAAGCGATGAAAAGCAACTGTCTACTTATCAAATAATCAATATCTTATTTTACTTCTTAAGTAGCTTACTTAGAAAATAGTATATTTCATAACAACCTCTTTACCCCTGTCAATGTATTGTCTTCAAATACTTGCCTTCACATATGGATAAACCAAAGTAACAAAACAACTATAAAGTTATTTAATAAGATATTTGATACTGGCAAGGAGAAGTTTATACCTCCAGTAGAAAATAAAAAAGCAGAGAAAGTAAAGAAACAAGGGACAATTTAAAGTGAATACCAAACTCGTACTGGACATTATTATGTCATAATTGTATTTCATCAATGAAGTAGTGTTTTTTGATAAGTAGACAATATGTACTTGGTGTATGTGTGGTAAATCCAAGATACTTGAGCTATAAAGAACAGAGTATTAAACGCTATCTTTTATCGTGTGTTGCATTTACAGAATAAATCAAATTATTCTATTTTAATATTTGTTTTATTTAAATTATGTCCATTAAATTCATTAGTTATAAATCATTTCATTACATAACATTTATAAATTCCGCAGCATTTACTAACAGTCGTTCATCATCACCTGCATCTAGGAAAATGCTGTAAACTACTGGCAACATTATCATTCTTCCCATGATCTCCTTCACGGTTGGTCTTTTGGCTGGTAATATTGACAACATAGAGTCTACTAGATCCTGCATTCCTCTGCCGTAAATGCTTAAGTCAATTGGATGAACACTTCCATTTGTAATAGCCTTTACCAAACCAACTAAAGACTGGAAAATAAGAGGGACGTTTATTAAAAAAATGTGTTAAATAGATAAATCAAGTTTTTAAATGTAAACGTTAACTTCTGAAGGATATTTTTAGAAATCTTGAACCTTTGCTGTTGTGCTGTTACTGTAATAACTATTGACAGTAAATATAATAGTACCTCTGCATCAAAAGCCCTTTTATGTGTGCACATTTCATATAATAAGCAACCCAAAGCCCAAATATCACTCTTCGTGTCGTAAGGTTTGCCCTCACATAGTTCAGGAGCCAGATAATATGGCGTACCAATGACCGTAGAAGTCTTCTTTGCACTAAAAGAAATAAAATATAAGCCACAACGATAAACCATTTATTACTAAAAATTGAATCTCAGATGAGATTGTACGACTTGGACAGCAATCAATCAATGCGTTGTAATTATCACCTTATTTTTATTGAAATAAGACTCGTTTTATTTTCTCTCTCGGCTTCACCATATGCTATTATGCCTTCCGTAAACCGCACTGCAGCGCCTTTAAGAGGGCAATCGCGCCAAAACCAAATTTAAACTGGTTTTATAACATCCGTCCGTCAAAAATAATGTCCAAATTAAAGAGGTATAATACAAATACCGCCCGGCGCCTCATGCCCACTGCAAGCTTAACGGTAGGATTAATGACGTATGGTATCCGTTAATTATTTGGAGCTTACTGAGTATTTTTTTGTAAATATAATGATAATATTACCTTGCCAACATTTTCGAAATTCCAAAGTCGCCTATTTTTATCAATACGCCATGTTTTCCAGACATTAATATATTTTCAGCTTTAAGATCTCTATGAATAACATTTAAACCATGAATGTAATTTACTCCAAGCAATATTTGCGAAAAGAAAAACAAAATTTCCTGAAAAGTAATTATATTTTTATTTTTACTCATCCATAAGTAGCTTTTTATAATCATATTTCATTATTGTTTTTTATAGTAGGTAGCACCGACTGGGTTTATAAGTTTTGATTTTATATCAAAATAAACGAAATGATTATTTGATTCACGCAAAAGATGTCTAAATCGCGTTTTTATAAGTTTTTTTAAGACTATTGTAAAAGAATGCATCCATTACAACTTACCTGCTGCTTTATTAACTTCGGATAACGTTGATACATGTATTCCGCTAGATTCCCGCTAGTGGCATACTCCATAGATATCATGACGTGGTTTTCGGTGTAAAAACAATCATGAAATTTAATTATATTTGGATGTTTCAATGATGATAAAATCTTAACTTCATTCGCGATGTCCTGTAATGTTAATTTTAGTAGTTACACCGTTGCAATAAGGAAGTATTTTAAGAAAAAAAAAGAAAGCACTAAAAAAGCACCTCACTAGATAGCGACTTTATCAAAAGTAGATTTTTGCAGGAAACGAATGGACCAAAGACAGTTATTTCCGTTCCTTTTAACTAACATTAAAAAAACTGAAATTTGCAAAGTTCCTCCGTACTTCGAAACGCACGTACTGGAACCAGCTGTATCTGCGGTCGTTAATACCCACCAATCCGCACTGGGGCTGCTGGATGGCTCAAGGCCCATTCTTCCTATTCGATTCGATTCCATCCCACCTTTAGGGAAAGCCTGTGTCCCAGCAGTATTAATAGGCTGGTAATGATAGTATACCTCCTAGCTAGCCATATGATAAGGGTTTCTCATTATCATTACAGCTTATTTGAACGTTATTTCATTATACAAAATCTTTTGATTATTAATTATTTTGAGTGTAAGCGCCCTCTTAAGCTACCTTTGTTTTTATGCATATTCTATTAAACCAACCTGCTTATGATCCTGAATCTTTCCATTTAGTTCAATATCTTTAACTATACTTAAAACATTGCTGAATCTATTTTCACACAAATAAACGTATCTGTAAAATTAAATCGAGAAATCAGCATTTGCACTTTGTCAATATTGAAAATAGATAACATTTTTATTTTTGAAATCGAGTAGCATAATTGTCGTATATTTGCCAACTCAAACAAACAAAAATAAAATTTAGTCATCTGACTACAACTAAATTCTCAACTGTAAAAGGGAAGTCAATCCCTTCTAAAAATACAATTACGGTATGCACGTTAGAAATACTAATTAAGTATTGCATTAATAAAAATCTAACATACCCATAAGTTCCTTGGCCTATTGTCTTCAAAACGTTTAAATTACAATTTTTAAATCTTAATGTGACATCCATTATATAGTAGATCAATAAATTACCTTAAATAGTAAAACATGGAATAACGGGCTCACTACTTTTTCTGTATAATGTGATCTACCTACCCTCGACGAACATTGGTCTTAGCGGCCTACCTTCATACATTTTTTTCTCTACGCTCCTCATTTTCAAAGAGCCCGCTAAAGTGTAAAGCGTGTGGTATCAAGTCGAATCGTAGGTAGTTGACAACTTTATTGTTGTTCATTTCAAACATAATTTAACGATTTCTTTCATATAAAATCAATGTTTAACATGTAGTAATTTGTCTAATAAATAGGTATCTTGATAAATATAAAATAAAAGCACACAATTATTCTTACTGCTTAGCTAGAGTATCCTGTCGAAAACCATGGTTAAAAAACAGCCTCGAATTCGACTTCGAGGGCACGGGCTGTCATAGTATACTACTTTAGAGTAATAAAACCTTTGTTAGGGCGTAATACTGGTCGACGACCTCCGTGTGCGGTGCGATAGGCGATTTATTTTTGATCCTGACGTCGGTCATTGTTTTATAATTCAAAAGTCTAACCCACGACCTGACATGGCGAAAACTTGAAATACAGCTACAGTAGTCATGCAATGAAAGTAACCTAGTCTAGCCATAAGTTCTGTTACAAAGAAAATATCCGGTAATTTCTAAAAAAATATTTTTATTTTAAAGTTTTATGTGTGATTGATTATGTAGAGTGAAAAAGATATGTTAACGTACTAAACTAGTTAGAATACGGATCTCTCACTGTCATCAACAAACATGGTTTCGGTGTACCCACAGATCTATGTTCTGTGGGTGTACCTTTGGATGGTACGATACACAAACATTCGACTAATCCCTAGCTTTTTCGATGTATCAAAAATGTCAGCTGGCTTCTTACCTACTTTGTACAGTGCAATTACTGCAATCCTATTCCCTTAAGTGCTCCACTCCATTTTCAAAACAAATAATTTCTAAACAGAAAACATACAATTATGGCGGGAAAGAAGTCTATTTTATTATCGTAGACGCTAATGATCGAAATTAAAATTAATGTTTTTTTTTAATGTATGTAAACAGCCTGTAACAGAATTTATGGCAAGACTAGGTAATAGTGAAAATTGACTGTTTGCATTATAGAAAGAAAAAATAATTTTATGAATGAAAGTAAAAAATAATTTTACGCATGAATTTCAATAACAACCTCAGGGTACCTGGGGCTGGTAAATTTAATAAGTATTTTTCACTAGATATTTATCATTTATCAGTATAGCATAATGAATGAAAAGTTTATGAAATATGAGAAACAAAAATAATAAATTAATTATTACAATATTTCACTATTCTGTCAACATTTAATGGAGTTTGATCCTCTTTCGTTTATCTGAATTAAAATAAGAGTATAGAATATGTTTTCTCTAAGGAATACATCATGTTTTTTGTATAAAAAAAACAACGTTTTCGTCTTTAAAAATATTATAAAAAGGAAAGATTTGATTTGTTTGCTTGTATGTTCGTTTGATTGCATCGAGTAAGTTCCGATACTGCTGGACCGGTTTTAAAGATTCTTTCACCTAAGGGAAGCTATATCATATTTGGTGAACATAGTATATATTTTATCCCGAAAAACAGCAAATAAGGGATAAAAATTGGAATGGAAGTTTATACAGGGAATTAAAACGTTTCCATAGTAACCATTGTTTACTATCCAATTTGTCATTGTAATAATATACATATTGAATCTTATTTTTAGCAAATAACTCTTATATTTGAGCAAATAGTTCCTTAAGATTAAGATTACTGATCATAGATCCATATTACCTTTGTAACATGTTTAAAAATGTTTGAAGAAAATTGTGAAATAAATAAAAATATTGTAGGGTCATGATACAAGTCTGACTAATATTTTAATTTTATTTACATAAATAATAACAAGTTTCTGGTGAAACATATATAGAGATGCAATTTTCAAGCTGCACCAACCAAGCGTTGTTCTCTTACGCGCAGGCGACGTTCACGCTCAAATTCCTTCATGCGCAATACATAACTGCAAAATTAAAGAATAATATTAGTACAGATGAGCTTTAAACATATATTTCAATAAGACAAGCTTAAATTTTGTATAGATTGTGAATCACAACTATTTTGTGAAATGAACTTACATAAATGAATATTAATTCCACAAAAGAGATCTGTCAGTTATAAAATTAGGTGTCATGTACTTCAAAAAAAAATTCAAAATTTAATTAAGGCTTTCACTACCAAAATAAAAAAAGCAGAGTTTATAAAATACTAAAATATGAAGTAAATTGAGTGAAACACTGGATTTTGGTGAAATCCACAAGGGCAATCCTATTAATGAAAAAGAAGAAGAATACCAATTATGTGATTTGAAGCTTATCTAATTAATAATAAAAATCAATCACATGTGTTTACTTTAGAATATAATGTACAAAAAATATGAATAGCATACATACAATAAAATATGCAATCAATCCTTGTTTTTATGGTAAGTACCTACTTTGATTAATATGTAAAAATTTAAAGAACCTTATCTCTTACTGAGTGACTCAATTTCATAAAGGATAGACACAGCGGCTTGCAATCGTTGTTGTAGAGCAACTTTCGCAAGGGTCGGTCATGGGATGGGTGACAAAAAAAATATTATGTCAAACTTCAGAATGCACATAAAGCTGTTGGTCCCAGTTGCATTTTTCGTTAATTAATACCCACCAATCCACATTGGACCAGCATGGAAGGTCATGGGCCTTTCTCCTTAACCACTCCTAAGGAAGGTCTGAGCCCCCTGCATTGGGAACATAAGAGGTCTGATGATGATCTCTTACTAATACTGTGGACATTGTTTCTAGACTTCATTGAAATAATAATATGTACTTAAAACTGTTGAGTCATACATAGACATATTAATGCTAATAGAATTTAAAATCTTTATGAAAATTGCAAAAACTTACTCTTGCTGTTCACAGTTCATATAGTTGTGCTTTTCATGAGCACACCTATATAGCATGGGCATATTCTTATAGCGGCAAACTTGGTAATCCATCAAATAATGTGCACAATAATCCCTATATACTGGTGGTATTTTGGCAGACATCAATTCTGCTTCACTTATTTTCATTTCTGAAGTCAAAGTATATATAATTTAATCATTACATTACAGATCATTCCTACAAATTATGGTATCTTCCAGAAAGTTATTTCTAATGCAAAATTTATCAATTTGTTATTAAGATACCATTAGGAGGTCAGAAACTGTTTTGATTTAATTCAACCTAAACGGGATTATGTAACTTGTATGTTTTTTAATATACCAAAAAGTTCAATCTATATGAATGAGTTTCTAATACTTAATTTGATTACCTCTTTCTTTTCTATTGAAGGAAAACCCAGTTTGAGGGTTAAATGTCGGTTCATCGTCCATGTAAAGGTCTACATTTCGCGCTCCATAGGAGCCCATCATTTGACCCATTTTAGCTTTAATTAATGAGACACAGTTGTATTCGTAATAAAGAAACCACAGCCGTGCTTAACCTAGAGTAACAAATTCAACTGAATTTTGTTTCCTTTGTAGAAAACTTGACGAAATTAAATTTCATCGAACCAAAACCCAAAATATTTTTTTTTTAATCATAGCCTTTGAATAAAAATCTTTCAACTTAGCAAATTAAATTCCCTGTGTCAGGGTTACCATACGTACTATACCCGTTCCCTACTCAAAGGTTTATAGCATAGGCCTCTTCCAGTCCAGATACTTAAAAATATCCTCGAGGATATGATTTGAGCTCTGGTTCTGTAATAAGACCGACATAGTGGCATATGCACTTTATGCACATACATAGTGTTTCATATATGCACTTAGATACCTCGATATATCTATCGCAAGGACTCGCGAAAAAAACAGGTAACCTGTTTATTATTGAGTATAATATCATTCATCCTCCTGCCCTTTATCTCACGTTACGTGGGGTCGGCACAACATGTTTTTTTCTTCCATTCTTCTCTGTCAGACGTCAGTTCCACATCCACACCTTTCTTATTCATATCCTCTTTCACACAGTCGATCCATCTTTTCTTCGGTCTGCCTCTACTCACATATCCATCCACATGCATACCCATCACTCTTTTCGTAGCATGACTTTCGTCCCTTCTCATAACATTATTGAGTATAATATCAAATTGTTTAAAATCTTAACGTGCCATTTTTTCTTCGATGTGGTAAGTGAAATCCCAATAGTTTTGTTATACCTAAGTGAGTAATGAGCGTAAAAGTGAATTCTGCTAGTTCTGTGAAGTTAGACTGGCCGAAGAATCGCGGCCAATAGGCGAGTTGACGAATTTAGGTTATGATATTATGAGCTGCTACTTCTGATGTTGCTATTGGGAAGTCAAATCGGCCGAGGACATGAGGCCGGTGGGCAACTTAATGAGTTGATTGAGAGTTCAAAGGCTCGCCCTCAGGGAGGGCGTGCTGGGCTGTTGATGACTTAATGATGGCTCGCTCTCAGGTATGGCTGGCTGGATGGTTGATGACTTTGTAGGAACCGTTAGGTTGAAGGTGTGATCCTACTGGATGATGGAGACAACTGGCAAAGGAGACTAAAGGTAATTGTCTCCCTCCGACCTAGATGTCGTTAGCCCGAGGACCGCAGTTCAAACGATGTAACTTATTCTGGGCGATGTATGTTTCTTTTTTCTAAAAGTCCTTGTAGTAACTTAATTTATAATGTTTGTATTGATACAGTGCCATCTCGTTACTGGGTATTGAAACTTATTGCAATTCGTCTTGCTATCGATTGCTGACGATACTAGTCTTCTCATTATCTCTCGTTACCTCTCTTCTCCCTATCTCGATTATTGTGGCGATGTTATTGCGATGAGTAAAATGTCGTTACAACTTAATTCAGGTTCGCCCTCAGGGAGGAAATATGAACTACTACTTTTGGGAAGTCAGATCCGCCGAGGCATGCGGCCGGTAGGTTAATTAATGATTTGACAAGGGCTTGCCCTCAGGAATGGTGGGCTGGAAATGTTGACATAACTGAAATATAATCTGTGGTGAACAAAATGAGAAGTTACCGAAGTATTTAACATAATTTCTGTGTATTTTATATGAATTCTGTGCAAATTCAGGGAACTCACTTCGACCTTGTGTTTGGTCCGGCCCTGACTTTACACGGATGACGTGTGTAGTCAGTCAGCCATAAATTTATAGATGTGAGCGACCCGACTTTCAATGACCGGCTTCCACTTGAGTAACAGTCGATTTGTCAGATGTATAGACGAACCTTGTAACGTACGAGAATTAACTATGTAAGTAAGAAATTCTGCTATGATCATGCCTCTTCCTATCACCTGTATGTTTTAACCTTGAATTATAATCTTCTCGTATTTCATAAGGTGAATTCATATTGGCTTATTCACATATTTAACGGAATTCCTATATTATCTCGTTTCATCGGTATCGTGGTTTACTTATAATTTACGATGTGATGGAATGGGGTTCTAGAGGTAATATCTGAACACAGGTGCTAAATTCGCGAAAAAAGAAGATTCAGCATAAGCGAAGTAGATCATAATAATAATAATAAAATCATTTATTCATCTTAGATACCTTTACATAATTAATATAGTTTTTAATCTAAAGTAATGGAAAATGACAAAACGGTTTATGACTCAGTGACGGTGAATGCCTCTGTTATTCTGTCATAACCACATAGTAAACTCAAAATGACCTCCTGCATTTTTATAATATACAAGACATCGAGACACTTGCCTACACAACTCCCAATTACACATTTCACCCACCCAGACCCAACACAAGAAACTGCTGTCCAAGAAGTCTCCTTTAATATTTCGTTTCATCGGTATCGTGGTTACTTGTAATCTACGATTTGATGGGATGGAGTACTAGGGGTAACATCTGTATTAGGTATGGTGCTCTATTTCGATGGCTGACTGTGGACTGTATGATGTTCGAGTGCAAAGCAAAGATGGTTTGACTTCTAAAGACGATTTATTCGTTTTACTACTGGTATCTTACAACTTGACTGCTTGACTACTGATGACTGACTACAAATATTTACACGTGTCTTCTTCTCGCACGCCGTGAGGCGTGCGGGGAAATAGTTCCTGTGTCATTGCACATCTACTATTGTGTCGGGTTCGCGGCCCATACTCGGATGGGTCGGTCTATGTGGTTATATTATATTATTCTAGTCGGTCCGCTCTTCACGCGTCGTCCTCTGCGCGGTCAAGCCGCGCCGGGTGAGACCCATATGGGGGGCCCGGCGAGCGACCAGCGAACAGACGACGGACTTGTGCGGGGAGGGCAGAGGTGTGGGGGTGTTGATGTCGTATTCTTAGCGGCTGGAATGTGCTGCCAAAAGTTGTAGGAATCTCGTTTGGAATTGCTCGACTATTTCCTTCGATGTTTGGTCGAGCAATTCTTTGATGTCAGGGGCCACACCTTTTGTAGTTGGGTCTTTTGAGTCCGATCGAGTGGTCGGTGCAGTGTGGGATGGTTCTACGTTTTCATTTATCCTCTTTCGGCGCCGTTTTATAGATGGCGCTGCGGTGGCTTCGGCGGTGGTGGTGGTGCTGCGTTGTCTGGTGGTGGGGGGGTTGGCGGGAGCCATTAAGGAGGTAGTAGTGGTTTCACTAACCTCTTTTTTTTTTATGGTGGCGTTTGTCACTGGTTGGTCGTTTGTTTGGTCCTGTTTTCACCACTAGTCCAGCTTTTTTGTTTCTGGCTTCCCGTTTGTGGGCGGGGCAGCTCGAGTGGTTAGCGGGGTGAGGTCCTTTGCAGTTGGCGCACGTCGCGGGCTCTGTTATCGGTCTTGGACACTCAGCTGCTGTGTGTGGTTCGCCGCATCTGACGCAGGCGAGGGGGCGGTGGCATCCTTTGGATGAATGGCGGAATCCTTGACAGCGGTGACATTGAGCCGGTCCTTTCTTACCGCGCCATGCTTCGATGATTATTCCAGGCATGCTTAGAAGTTCGTTCACTCCATAGATGGCTGGAATCAGTCCGTGTGTGCGGGCGAGGGCGACGAAGAAAATACATCCCGGTCGTCCCGCTCTCGCCTGGATGCGCTTAACGTGTTCTGCGTTGAAGCCTTTTTCCTCTAGGGCGTTGGCGATGAGGTGTGGCTCTGTGTGATACGGGAGGCCGCGTATTGCAATCTTCAAACTGCGGTCCTCGGGAAGAGCATAGGAGAACCAGCTGATACCAGCCTCATTTTCCAGATCCGAAAGATAGGACTGGATTAGGCGGTACTCGTTTCCGTCCTCCGGTGTAAATCTTATGCCCGTTCCAAAGGGGCGGGCATTTGGCGGGCGTCCGAGTCGATTTCGTATTGCTTGTATGTGGGTAGTCCAGTCGGGAATTTTCTCCACAACTATCGGTGGGTATCTCGATATTTGTTGTGCAGGTGGGGGTTGAGATGTCGTCGTGGTGGCTGTAGTGCTGGTGGAGGGGGGCATCGGTGGGGGTGTTGAAGTAACACTTGCGAATGATGGTGGAGGCTTGCTTCTCAGCGCTGGGGTCGGCTTCGAAGTCGAGGCGATGGGAGGCGATGTTGTTGTTGTCGTTTTGGGATCCGGTTGCGTTGGTGGAAGAGGGGGTGTTTGAATAATTACCCTCCTTGGGCGTTGGTCTCGTTGAGGCAGAGGAGCAGGGGTGAGTTGATCATCCGTCTGCGTAGTAACCGCTTGTTCCTCTTGCGTCCTTGGGAGTGTCTGTGATGCTGGCCGGTCATCGCTACTTAGTGACCGATGGGAGCGGCGCGGGTCGCGAACGTGGGGTGAGCGCGATGTCGCGCGGATTTTCTTTTGGGTAGTTTCTTCTGGGGTGGCGGTTTGCTTCCGTTTCCATTGTCCTCTTGGGGTGGCATCTCGATAGAAACGTCATCAAATAGGTGAAGAACTTCTAGTGCTGCTTGGTCGGCGGGTGAGAGGGCGGGGGCGTCGCCCAGCTCGTATTCCATCAGTCGTATATATACGCCTAGCCAGCGTAGCATGCCGTCCGACAAGAAACCGGAGCTAGCAAGCCTTACCACCATCACTGCGTCAGATTCATATCTGACGCGAGGCGATGACGACTTAGCCGCCAGCTGTAGTCTGCCGGACGGGCCCGCAGCGGATGACGGTGTAGGGGCCTGCGTGTCCGTCTTCGTTTGCTGAACGGGAGTGGTGGTAGCGATTTTCTCAGGTTGCGGTTTTTTGCGTGTAGGTGCCGGCGGAGTGTCGGCCATTTCGCAGAGCGGCCGGAGGCAGTGAGCTCACGCGACTTTGTAGACGTCCTGTGTGGTGGGCCTATCCCCGCTGGTCCTGGGGGACCAGGCGAGGTTCACCTGCCTTAATCCAAGATTAAGGGGAGAAAACTCTTATGCTTGAAAGTCCGTGCGTTACTGGTAGATTAGCTGATCTCAGAACGATCCGATACAAATATTTTCAATTTTGGCCCTACCCTTATTCTAAACTTAATGTTTAACTTAGCTTCTAAGGACGCGCGGTGGCCGGCCAATCACAGCGCGTTCTACGCCCGCGCGCCGAGTGGGGGAATCGTCCCCACCGTGCGGGCGGCGCCTACGCAGCCAATGGGCTCTCTGATAAATCTACAAATGT